ATGGGAATAATTATATATATATATATATATATATATAATTTATGGGGTAAAAACTATGGATGTTCAGATACCAGTGCCAATACTTGGCATTTTCACAAGAACTACCAGGGTTGCAGCGGTTGCAGTTGGGACCTGGCTCTGGCGCTCCACCACTGTCCTGAAATCATTAGTCTGTATTGTTTTAGAAAAAACTGTCACATGACAATAAACAAAAATGTATCAGTACTTTTATCTGTGAGTAGTTGACTTGGGCAAGTATCAGTACTCGTACTTGCAAAACTGGTATCAGTGCATCACTTTATATGTTTATAAAAACAAAATCATACATTAAAAAACAGAGATGTACAAATCCCAGGAGCTCCGTGTGCTCCTGACAAATTACAGCTGCCTCCTAACTTTTGAATTGTTCTCTAGCCTAGGAGCTCGAAAAGTACCGTATCTGTACTTGTACCGAGTACGGTACTTGGTATCGGTGCATCCCTAGTAAAAACTATTTCAGACTTCAATGGCTATTAACAATTTGAGCAGGTCAAGGCAGATGGGTTATAACCAACCACTGCCCCGCCATTTCTATATGCAAATTGTATGATCTTTTCTGCCAGTTTCAATTTAATTCTATAATAGAATTTAAAGCAAGCAGCTAAATACACATTTAGAGAGTTTGTTTGACTTGCCAAAAAAATTTGTACTCCTGTGGAGCCAGTTATTGGATCTAGATACTGCTGCCAGGCAGCATAGCTAGGTCCTCGACTTCCATTATCACAATACTACATGGGCAAGAACAACTCCCCAGCCTGCTAACCAGACAATAAAGTAGCAGCCAAAAACTGATAATACAGCGGCCTTCTCCACTTGTGAGCACATGTGCACAAAAGCCAGGCTGGCTTTTAGTACTCCTATCCTGAGCGGTGATGTATAGAGGATTAGTGGATACTCCGATTAAGACAAAATGAAGGTGCTTGCACCAGTTGCATTTTAAAATACATTTTTTTTTTCCATTAAAAACACAGAAAGGCATTGCTTTTCCCCAGCTTTAGGTTACATTCACCGACGATAAATGTGCATTTTGGGAACCCTGTGGCAGGAACCCGCGGATTTCCTCGGCAGGAATCCAAAATATGCTGTTTAGAAGCGACCATTGTCACCCATTCAAGTTAGTGATTGGGTGACAGCGGCCATTTGAAAAGTCTGTCTGTACTCAGCATGTAATTGTAGGTTATATGATTATATGCGGTTAGGAATAGAACACTATAGCATACTTTAAGTAAAATGTACATTTTCATTTCAATAGCTTTTTAAAGATGTTATATTAAACTTCTTTAAGAGAAGAAACCTGCATTTTTTACGTAGGGAAATAAATAGTTTAATACTCACCTATGAGAGAAACAGCACTGAGAGGCACAATTAGAGACAGTGGAGCAAAGGCATAGGAAGAAAACACCCCGGTCTCCCCTAGTACCACTAAGAAGAGACCAAACCACCACGTCTTTGTCTTGAAGTAGGTGCGAGGGTCTTTGGAACTAGCCAAACGTATATGGCTGTATTTCTGTTCATTGAAAAATATGGTCATTAGCAATTGTCATCCTCATAATCTAAGTAGGCTTATAAAATGTCAAAGTAATGCACCCTCTTGTGTCAATGGCAGTAATATTTATATAGATGCAAACTAGGGGCTATTGCAGGCATATGGTCCAGTGCAAGGTGAAATAATTATACCAAACAGGTGTGAATAATCAAGATATGTAATGCAGGGTACATTATAATTATTAAATCAAAAAGTATCAGCCTTGAAGGAGGAAAAACTTAGTGATGAAAATCCATGCTCTATAACAAGTTAAGGTCACTGAAGACAGTTAAATGTTACTTTTTTTTTTTTAAACAATGGCCAGACTCAACACAGCAACAAGACAAAAGGGCCATCTAGCGGCATTAACAATGTCTTTTGCAGGCAGAAATGTCAAGGAAGACAGGTGTTTCTAGATATGCTGTCCGAAGAAGTACAGAGAAACAGGCAATGTTTAGGACAGAAAAATGCAGTGGTCAGTCAAGGAAACTTAGCAGATGAAGGACAAATCAAGTTGACTTCCCTTCACAATGGGAAGACGTCCAGTGCCACCATTAGTTCAGACTTGCCAGAAAGCAGTACACCCATCTACAGTCCAGAGATCTCTGGCCAGAAGTGGTCTTCCTGACAGATATGCGCCTACAAAGCCATACCTCTGACATACAAACAAAGCCAAGTGACTTGCCTATGTAAGAAAACAATGACAACTGATCTGCAGAAAATGGCAGCAGGTGCTTTGGACTGATGAGTCCAAATGTGAAACATTTGTATGTAACCAAAAGGCAGTTTGTTTACTGAAGACCTGGAGAGCAAAAAAAAAAGATGTGTCTGCAAGCAAGAGTGAAGCATGGTGGAGGTTCTTTGCAGATGGGGCTGCATTTCTGCACATGAAGTTAGGCATTTGATGAAAGGTCTTTTTAATTCTTAAAAGTACAGGCAGATACTTGTCCATCATTCAATACAATAATGGAGGTGCTGATCAGCCCCAAATTTATTCTGCAGCAGGACAATGATACCAAAACATACAGTGCTAGCTCTAAAGCAGTGGTTCTCAACCTGTGGGTCGGGACCCCCTCGGGGGTCGAATAACGATTTGCCAGGGGTCGCCTAGTGGCTCTCGGCCGACGGGAGAGAAACACTTTCTCCCGGAAAGGTCGGGACCTTTCTCTGTTCTGTTTTTTTTTTGAAAATCGGGGGCCGCCGGAAGTCAGAAAAAAAAAACCCACAATAGGAATGCATATATATTTACCAGTAGCTGCCTCATTTCCCACCCTCGGCTTATACTCGAGTCAATATTTTTCCCCAGTTTTTTGTGGTAAAATTAGGTACCTCGGCTTATATTCGGGACGGCTTATACTCGAGTATATACGGTAATGTCTTACCTGTAGGTTGAGTCCAATACTGATAACAAGATGTCCAAATATGGCCAACAGAGATCCAATAAGGTTGTCCTGAAAATACATACATTAGTTACTGCATAGTTTATTGCCAAGTTGTGTTATTGTTACATAGTAGTACCAATAAAACCAGAATATATAATGTAGCAAATTTTTGTATACCCAAGAATGCAAGTTTCCTAGGGTTCTTTCACACATGCATTAAAGTATTCTTTTCCTGAAAACATACAGGTGCTGCCAATACTAAAACACCTTTTAAAAATTGTACAGCAGCTTAAAGTTAAATAGACTTTTAGGGGAAGATTTATAAAACAGGGAATGCGGCATTTAAATATTCTTGCAGGGGTATCTTCCTGGAGCGTGCGTTTTAAACAGTGACCGATTCACCTTCAGACTTCAGTGAATGTCACACGTTTATTCTTCACTGCATTATAAACATGCCCCTTGGTGTTCATTTAGTAGTTAAATAGAACCAGGTTTGTATATAAAACAGAGCTTACTTTATAGCACACATGTCAAACTGTTTTATGGGTTGCATACAGCTCTCTCCCTCTGCGGCTGTCAGTGGTTTAAGGGTAATTTAAAAAAAAATAATGTGCCTCCAGCTAATAAGTTACACAACCTTGCAAACGTTTTATCTAAATACTTTAAGAAAACCTTTATGAACCCTTTTTCTTGGGTTGAATATAGCAAGTTGCAAATTTTACTATAATGGTAAGTTCTGATGTGGCCTAATCTTCTTTATGGAATTACAAAGGTGCAGCCCACAGTAGACATAATGTGCCCCCCTCACCCCCCATGACGATTTAGTCCTCTCAGTTTGATCCACTGTTTCTTCTGATTTTGACATGCTGGCTGGCTTGCAATTCTAGCTATGTTCTGCCCATTCTTACAAAGGCCGGGTACCAGCAATGTCAGGTGTATAGATCAGAAACAGTCTACTAAAAATTGTGATTTATAGCTAAATTTGAGGGTTTCCAATGCCTAAAGCTCTGGATCTACTTACAATTTTACTATGTACTGAAGGTAGCCTCTGCTTATACATTTTACTATTGCATCTTCAGTGTGAATAGCCTAGTTTTGTGAAAAGTCTACATTAAAGCAGAAATAAAAAATGCTGAGAGTTAGGATTTTTTTGTATTTTCTGCCAAAAAAAAAGAAGATTATTAACTTCTTTCCCCGGTGAGTTTTATTTTCTTTGTTTTTTGTTCAGTGTTTTTAGAAGCTAGATTCATAATGAAGACAGTGAAGAAAATTATATTTATATCCCTATTTTTTCTGTACCCCTTAAAGTGACATTTAGGCCTGGTTCACACCTGGGCATTTCACAGTGCGTTCTTACGCTCTGGAAAACGCTCAACATGTGAAAACCAATGATTGCCTATGGACATGGCTCCCACCTGGGCGTTTTACAGCGCGTAGGAACGCGCTGCAAAACGCCCTATGCCCAAAGAAGTACAGGAGCTTCTTTGGGGCATATTCGCCATGCGTATCCATTGGGATACAGCCGGATAGCCCTCGGAAACGCGTGTTTGTCGCGCTTTTTTTTAACCGGTAAAAACGTGCGGCACGAAACACGCGACAAACGCGCATATTCGATACGCCTAGGTGTGAACCCAGCCTAAAAAGGATAATTTTTTTTTCCCTCCCATGTTAATGTCAGCACTTACCTTAAATGATGTCTCTTAATTCGATCTTCTTTCCCCATGTTTTCATCTGTCCCTCCTCTGTCCTTTTCAGCCTTCTCTTCAGCGCTGCTGCGGGTCTCCGATCCAGCGCTGACTCCTCTCTGCTTGCAGGCACTTCTGATCCAACGGTGTCTGCATGCGGTTGCACGCGTCTATAGACTTACCTTGCTTCTCTGCTCGTCTTCCGGCCGAGAATCCGAACTGCGCATGCGCCCTCCCCAAGATGCTTTGCGGGCGCCGGATCAGTTTTGTTCTCTCGCACGGGAGCGCACAGCCAAAAACAAGGTAAGTGCAAAGTGCTGTCACAGCGTTTAAAAAAAAAAACAAAAAAAAAACTTTCTGCCTATATCTACTGCTTGATAGCAGTAGATATAGGCAAAAAACAACAAAAAACAACAGGAGGGTTTAGAACCACTTTACTGGACAAAATTAGAAAAAAAAACCTAGTAAAATCAACAGCAGTTATGATCAATAACTTGAGCTGTTTGTATTTGTTTATAGAAATTATAATTAGGGATGCACAGATACTAGTATCGGTGCAGATACCGAGTATTTAGGCGAGTACTCGTACTTGCCCAAATGCTTTGATACTTACCCCCGATACTGAAACTTCTGGTCAGAGGGAGATCTCCTTCTGACCGGCAGTGCCACGAGGGAGCATGGTTCCGGCTTCCCGGGCCAATCAGGAAACCAGGTGGTACTCCCATGACCCACCTCCTGGCTTTCTGACTGGCTAGGAAGCCGGCTCCATGATGAGTGGCAGCGTAGCTTACTGACCAATCACAACATGTTCTTTCGATGATAATAATCCAGGCCAAATGATGCCGCTATTAGTATTCAGTATTGACGAGTACCGGGAGAGGGGGAAAAAAAACTAAACAAAAAAAAAACGGTAATCATACTTGTTACAGAAAAAAAAAACTGTAAATCGGTGCTTCCTTAATTGTAATTCCACTAAAGGAAAAAAGTTGAAAGTAGATATTGCACTATTTCACAATTTAAACTACAAACGGAATCATGTTCCAGGAATTTTATCAGTGCTAATGACAGTTTAGCATAAATTACAATCTAAAAGATAACTGCACCTATTCAAAGAGCAATTACCCAGAAACCCCAAGTACGACAAAATTATCACAAAACATGTGATCATTTATCTACATAGGAACTAAATATTCTATGAAGTTTCATGGAATATTCATTAGACACACCTGTCAGGTCTCTAAAGAATTCAGACCACCAGGTCCCTGCAAAAGACGTACTATTATACTCTCCTCTCTGGTGCCCCTGCATTCCAGTGCTGCAGTCTGCCTTTGGCATTCAACAGTGTTGGATGCCCATGTCCCCTGCCGTGCACTGTGACTTCTCCCTCAGCGAGTAGTGCTACTGGACACACTGAGGTCATGTTCAGGAAAGTTATTTAAACCTGATCAGTACACTTTGGACCTCTCTGGGTAGCTGTTCCCAACCTTCTGTTCCTATGGCGTCTGCTCCAGTGCCAATTCATGTTAATGACCTTTTGCTTATTTCTTGTTCTTATTATCTGCCTGTCCTGACCTTTTTTTCTATTTGACCACTACCTTGCCTTCCAATTTGATACCGTGCTTCCTTTCTGCCTGCTGTCATCTGTTGCCACTGAGTGTAACTGAGGGCTGCATCTTAGGAGCTCTCTGTAGCAAAATCCTTCACCCATTTTAAGGTGCTCTGGTAGACACTGGGCCGTTCCTTAGACCCAGCACCTCAAAAGGTGGGTGTTTGACAAAGTGGCAGGTGCAGTGGTAAGGCTAGAGGGGTTGGTATGGTGGCAGGTGCATTGGCGAGTGAGGAGTGATGGGGGTCACGCACAGTGGTGACAACGGAGGAGCATGCAGGTGGGGTAATTTTCCGGCAAAGGGGTGATGGGGGAAAAGAGAAGATGAAGGTCAGGAACTGCACTCTGCGGGGGGTGGTTAAAAGGATGGGAGGATAGTATGTAGGCATCGTGGTTCGGTAGTGAGAGCAGGATAAAGGGTGTGCAGGCATACAGGTAAGAGCAGGTGCAGACACACAGTGGTAAATAATTTAAAAAAAAAGGCAGGGTTGGTGAGAGAGGGGGGTAAAAAAGCAGTGTGGAAGATATGGTCACATTCCTAATGGGATGGATTTCTTGCAACTGCCATTGCTATGGAACTCAGGTGCCACATAAACTTATTATAAAATTGCCTTTCAAAGTAAGAATTTAGACTTCAGCTGTGACAACATGGTGTACTTGTAAACACTGATGTTTATTCTCTATTAATTTGACCATTTTATTCTCTATTAATTTGACCATTTTATTTTAATTTCAACAATTTCACTTCCTGTATTCCTTATTTTTACAGATCATAAACACAAGCCGAGGTGATGTCATGACTGTTGCATAAACAGATCATATTATTTTCAACAATTATGAAGCAATCACGGATGTGTATGAAAACAAATGTCTATTAAAAGTGAACTGTAATCTTAAGCAAGCAGTGTGACGTTTGTTTTCGTACTGCATTGTACTGTGATCAGAAGTTTTCTCCTGATAATAGTAGATTTGTGGTGAACTTTGTGCTAATTATGCTGGAGTAAATACTGCATACGTGGATTACAAAAATATAAACCTCCACAGACATTTTGCCTAAATAAAACTTCAAGCACAATGTTTTAAATACAACCTATGATAAGAGTAAAACATAAAAGATGCAAATGCTGATCTCTCATCCTGAAAACCCTAGTTTGCTGACCAGCGTGCTTCCATTCCCATATCACTGGCCTGGGAAAGGTCTGCAACTTCCTGATGTGCATCCTCCAGCTGTGCTTTAACTACATATCCTAACATGCCTCTGTGAATCATACCTGTAACTGTCAGTCTTGGAATACCTCATGAGACTTGTAGTTTCACAACAGCTGGAGGGCTGGAGTTGCCAACTCCTACCCCAAAGCTATCTAATGACAGGTTTAGGTTAATTCTTTAAAATGCATTTTTAGAATTGACCTGCTGCGTCATCTGGATGCGACACCTGAAACTAAGACACAACCACTGAATTATTAGTGTACAAACGTCTAACATTTCAGAGCTGTTTTCTTCTGTAGATATGCCAATAACATATAGTGGAAAGGACTGCCTGACAGGATACAAATGAAATAAACCGTTTAGGTCAGTGGTAGGCAACCTTGGCTCCCCAGCTGTGCTGAAACTACAAATCCCATCATGCTTCTGCCTCTGGGAGTTATGCCTGTGGCTTGCAATGCCTTATGGGATTTCTAGTTTCAGCACAGCTGGAGAGCTGAGGTTGCCTACCCCTGGTTTAGGTAAACACTCACATTACATGGTTTTGGCACGTCTCCAGTTCTAATACATGCAGCTCAGTGTTACAATATATACTGCAGCAGTTAAAATATAATAAATATTACACAATGATAACGAAGCCAAAAATGTAGTACCTTGTAGGAAAAATTGTTGTTCGCAGGCATTAGAGGAGTGGTGCCTACCAATTCCTCTATCTGCACAGCAGGAATGGACGTTGTCTCCATTTTCTTTTCAATTTGGAATATTCCTACTGCATCCTCAAATCCAGTCTTAAGATATGATTATCAGCTCTCATACACAGAAAAGAGTCCTGCTTTGTCATTATAAAAGTCACTTCATTTGTGGCAATGTACAGTTAAAGTAGCATCTTGCCCTACATTTTAGAAAGACAAAAAAAAAAAGACATTATGAAAACACATACAGGGTATATTGCAACTTCACACAATCATACTGTCATGAATACTTCCATAAATTACCATCTAAGTTTTCTTACAGTCACAAGAATGGATACATACAGCCCTTTTCTTTGTGTACGAGGTGTTTTGGTTTACATATAGCAGAAAGAAACTGATACTGTTCTCTTCAGCGGAAATACCTTTCATAGTAAATAACTGCAAAACATACCAGCACTTTCAGGGCCTGTTCACACGACGTCCGTTTTCTGTGCTGACCTGATCCGTACGCTCCTGCACTAAAAATGCATCCCAATGTATCCCTATGTGTTTTATGGGCTACAGTTCTCCGCAGTCCGTTCAGGTTACGACAGAAAAAATACTGCATGTCACATTTTGTCCGGTCACTGGAATGCATCAAAAACGCGGCCAAAACGCACTGCATCAGTAGCACCGCACCTGATCAGGACCTGATATCATGTGAACAGGCCCTAAAGCTTTCGTATGTATACCGGTCAAATAATTGTGTTCACTAGGGTCTGTTGCATAAACATGCACGTTCGAATCGCCCTTAACATCCATGTTTATGCAAGGGAGAAGCCCTTAAGGGCACAGCCGGGACCGACTTTATTTAAAGTGGAAACAAAAACGATCGGCCAGTAAAGAAAACTGGTTGAGCAATTATTTATTAGAATGGACTGCCAGGGATGTCTGGTGAAACAGGCAATAGAGTTGTTGCCCAATCCAACCAAAATCAGGAGGTTACTGTGCTATGTGTTGGGTACCTTTACTTTATGGCACACATTTCTTGGAGTAACGGAAATCGTATTTGGGGAAAAAAAAAAAAGACAAGCAACAAGTCAGCATGGCTCCCCTCAAGATAGTAAAGATGCTGATGCACCACGGTAACGAGAAGGTAAAATGCACAGCTTACCATGTGATACTGCAATGCATGTTAACAAGCAATATGATGTGCATGAATAAACAAAATGCACTTGACCTGTGGCTGGTAAGACAGCTGCACACTCAACGCACTTCTACAGCAGTTGCCAACATACTTGAAGCACTGCATACTTTGTGGTGTGCTGCTTTGCCAAAAACACTGCATGTGCATTTTTGTCATGTGTTAAAGTGAACCTGTACCCAGACTATGCAAAGTATTTACATATTCTGAACAAAAAGTTAAATCACTTTAAAACAAACCCCCATTCATCTCTGTAACTGTAGGCATTGTGGAAAACATATTCAACTCTTTTCCCCTCTGTTTTCTATTGAAGCAAATCTTGGGAGCTTACAATCCCTCTAATCTACACACACAGCAGGCATTTCCCATCTATTAGAAACAGAATCAAACCTGACCTACGGCGTTCAATATTGTCTGAATCAAAGACCTATAACAAGTTTTCATGTCCTTATTTGCATGTTTGTTCCAGGGAAGTTACAAATGAGTAAAACAAATTAAAAAAAAAGAGAAGACTAAACATGACAGCCAGTGAACTATCTTTTGCAGAAAGAGAGGAAGCAATGGCACAATGTATGTTTCCTTTAAGCAAATATTAAGCAAATTTGTCCAGTCACACAAGCTTGTGGATGCACGCACATGCACATTCTATATTAGCATGGCAAGACCACAGGTCCCTCAAGGGATTGGCTGATAAAAGCATTTGGCAGAGCATGGGCTGGATTTTTTCATTTCTTAAACTATAATGTGTGATTTGAAAATTGCACAGTTCCTAAAAGATATTTAGTAGATATAAACTTAATAAAAAATAAGCTTTAACATGTTAAGTGAATTTGTAGAGTTGTTTAATCTTCTTAAGTCTTTACTCAAATGTATCTAAATCCTGCTAGTAACACACTTCCTGTCCTAGGATGACAATACTCACTCACTGTTCTGTATATACAAAAGGAGAAGCATTGTCACTGTAGGCTGCTTGCTTCTGATTTGGACAACGGAAAACCCTCCTCTTGCCCCAGCTCAATAACACAGGGAGGAGGTATTCTTAAAGTGACATTAAAGTCAAAAACTTTTTTCCCTCCCCCAATGTTAATGAAATAACTTACCTTAAATAATGTCTCTTAATCCGATCTTCCTCTTCTTTCTTGTCCTTTTCAGCCTTCTCTCCAGCGCTGCTGCGGGTCTCCGATCTAGCGCTGACTCCTCTGTGCATGCTGGCACTTCCTGTCCCATGGTGTCTGCATGCGGGTGCACATGTCTATAGACTTGCCTTGTGTCTCTCCTCGGCTCCCGGCCGAAAATCCGAACTGCATATGCGCCCGCCCCAAGATGCTTAGCGGCCGCCCGAGCATTTTCGGATGGGAACGCGCGGCGAAGACAGGGGTAAGTTTAAACCGCTTTAAAAAAAAACTTTTTGCATATATCTACTGCTTGCTAGCCATAGATATATATGCAAAAAAACCTGAGGGTCTAGAAACCCTTTAAGTTCACAGACAAACTGGGCAGAAGAGCATTGCTGGGAAATCTCATCTGTAATCTCAGGAGATCTCAGGGAAAGGAATGTGCATGGCCACATGTCCTAGTCACATGTGCCAGAAATCCAGGAAGTAATAGGAGAGCTAGTAATCTGCCCTTAGTAAACATGGCCACTGTCAGGAGACTGGGAAAGAAAAGAGAAATAAGGTATGCAAAGAATACAAAGCCTGCAATTATCTAGAACCTTGGTTCTCAACTGGCAGTTCGTGACCCAAGAGTGGGTCGCAACCCCATGTTCAGTGGGTCGCGACAGGCCTTCCTTATAAGTTAGAGAGTCCTCAGCCTCTCCCTAGCGCAGCACCGTCAGTTCTTGTGCTGAGCAGCCATTCAAAACATGGCCCTGCGTGTCAGCTTGAGGTGAGGTGTGCTGGAAGTATGGCTATCAGGGAGCGCCATCTATACGTGCATTGCTTACAGCTCCCACATGTGCCCTGTAGAGGTGCCTGGACTACACTGACCTCACAATCTGGCTCCTGGCACCTCTTCAGGGCAAGCAAGGGAGCTGTACAAACAATGCACATATGGACGGAGCTCTGTCAGGGCACAGCAGCCCACACTGAACACCAGGCTGAGGATCCATTCCAGTTCTCATATGGTAGGGAGACTGGGTGGATCTTAATGTATGACCAGTACTGCAATGCCGCGCATTCCATTGCAGTGGGACTTGGGTCACGACTTAATTACCAAGGACAAATAGGGGTCCTGAGGCTACACAGGTTGAGAACCAATGATGTAGTTGTATGTGTTTGTAGATTGTTATTACTAAACATATCTAAAAAGTTGTATTTGTTGTTATTTTAAAGATATGGGTAAAGGTCCGCTTTAAGAATCCGGTCCAGAGCAATGATGTGCACCCAGCACTGCAGTGAGTGTCTCTAGACAGGGTGTGGCTGAAAGAGGCTGGAGAAGATCAGCTACCAGCCTCTCAGTATCAACCGAGATACAAAAAAAAAAGTCCGGCGGTGTGAAAAAACCCCCCCCATCACCCTTTTTCCCCCAGTGATTTATTATTGTTTTTGTACACCGTACGGTGCATGTCCAATGCAGTGTACACACTATGCCCATTCACAGCATCTCTAAGATGCCGTGAATGGGCTGGGTGCTTGTGCATGAGATACAACATCAGCACTCACACAATGCCCAAAGGGGACTTACAAAGAACCCGGAAGTGGTGGCAGTAGAGATGGTAGTGATGGGGGACAGAGCAGGGTACCGAGGATGGAATCAAAAGCGCAGGAAAAGGGTACATGTGTATGGGAGTATTGCTGTGCATATTAGTGTGACCGCACCACAGGTGATCTATAAATACAAACCATCAAATGATGCATAGACTGGATTTTTTTTTACATTTCTAAAAGTGTATGTAAAGCCTAGACTTTTTTTTTTTCAGTTTTGGATAGCGTAGGGAAGTTTTAAACAACCATTAGGTTATTTTTGCTGCTTGTGGCCTGTTGGTGAGATCTCCTCTTCCGTTCTTGTCCTGAACAGGAAATGAGAGGAAATCTCTGTAAGCCACCATTCACAGATCATCATAGGTGTCTAAGAGCTCTTAGTAACCTGGGACGCTGTGGCCGCTCCTCTTTTGCCCCCCCCCCCTAATGAGATGTCACCCGAGGTGACTGCCTCAATATAGGGACATCCCTGGTCATCAGGAGAAAGAGGAAGGTGAATTTACCAATTTAACAGAGGGTCTAACCTTTCCCTACTCTAAAATAACAAAAAAAATGCCTTAACATACATATTTATCACACATCTATTTAATGTAAGAGGATGAAAACACATGTCTTCCAGTAATCATCTTATGTCTCAGAGAATTCCAGACAGCAAATTACCTTTTTTCCGAATCCCATTCCATCACTAAATAGCACGTCTAAAGCTGGTTGTACAGGGTTAGAATTTCGGCTGATTCACAGAAACTGGCCGTAATTCTAAGGCCCCTTTCACATGGCTGTTCTGATCAGATGTGCCTGTTAGTTTTTCCAGGCACATTTAACCAGAAGCTCAACGGATGTGCTTCTGTGTACATACGATTACCTCCAAGTCTGTCTAGGTCTAAAAACACAAAACAACAAAAGGTTTGTGTCCTTAAGAGCCCAGTCACAACAGGGCGGTTGCGGATCAGCGCTGATCTCAAAAGGAAGGTTTTGGGAGTTTTTAAATTACATTTCAGTGCTGAAATGCAATTAAAAAGGTCCAAAACCACGCTGATCAGTGCGGTTCCATTGAAAGCTGTATGGAAACCGCACTGATCAGCGCGGCAAAAATAGTGCAGGGAGCAGTTCGGGCAGGGGGCGGTTTGGATCGTGCAGACCCGTGCGGTCGCAGGAACGGTCCCCATAGCAATGTATGGGAGCGTTCATGATGGCGGATCCGTGCGGCTGAACTGCCCTGGTGTGAACAGGGTCTAACTGTATTTTTGGACATGAATTGGCAGTAAAAGTGTGAAAACGTATGCGCGTCCATTTACATCCACCTAATGCAGG